AGGTGCCATGGAGGCGATATGGTTAAGGCGTCTTCTAGCAGAGCTTGGGCATCCTCAAACGAAGCCAACTCCTCTCTTTTGTGACAACCAAGCCGCCATAAGCCTCTCTCACAACGCCGTACTTCACGGGCGAACCAAGCATATCGAAGTGAAGCATCACTTCATTCGTGAGGCGGTTGAGAAGGGTGAGGTCAAAGTCACATATGTGAGTGCCAAAGCTCAACCCGCGGACTTCCTCACCAAACCACTCCCTAAGGATTCATTCCGTGCATGCTGTGAGCGTGTTGGATTGAACTTCTAGTGGCTTGGGTGCAAGGGGGAGTGTTGGAGGTTGAGTGTGGGGGGAGGTTTGCCCCCAACCACCGAATGAAGCTCACATGTTGCGTGAGCTGCAGGTTTCGAAGTGAGTGGGTTGACTTCGGAAGACCCATCGATTCGGTGCCACATGGCAGCACCAGGAACATTCGAGACCCAAGGAGAATTCGGATCGGTGAAATTCGAGGGTCGAATTTCACCCCTTCGAAATGTTACTCGAACATTCGCGAGTGTACCGCGGTTCGAGGTTACATGTGCGACTCGATGTTTGCAGTTCATATAAAATTGTGTTGCTTTGTATTGCATGGATCATACTGAAATTGAGAATCACTTTGTAAGTGATACATTCGACTACAAAATCCAGAGAGCTCCTATCCTTTGTTCTAAGAGCACTAGCAAGCACATAAAAGCCTACAACTCCCTCGTTACTTGGGCGAATCGTGTGTTTGACGGCTCGTTGGAAAGCCAGCAGAGTGCTCTATCATTTAGTGCAGATCCCAGTTCCTGCAAGGTAGAGGAGAGTCCTTTACATCACCGACTGCACTGGGGGACGCCGTCCTGGGCGCCTGGACGCCGACCTGGGCGTCTGGACGACGTTCTGGGCGTCTGGACGGCGTCCTGGGCATCCGACGCCAACCTGGGCGTCCTGGCCGCTGGCCTGGGCGCCGGCCTGGGCGCCTGGACGCCGACCTGGGCGTCTGGACGCCAACCTGGGCGTCCTGGTTGCCCGGTCAACCAAGTTACACAGGCGACGGAGTATTGTGGAGGTGCACGACGGTCACCCAAGTGTTCTTGGCGAAGCCGACCTCGGTGTGGTATCCTGTGGTCGACGTGGAGGATCAGGTGCAGACGTGGGCATGTCGTCGGCGTGGCGTCCGCGCTGTGCACATGACAGGGAACAGGACGCCAACCACCTGCGAGCACCTGCGAAGAGTGTGCGCTGCTGTCGTGCGGATGCAACGTTGTGCAGTCGCCTTGCTTCAGCGTTGGCACGCGGTGGACCTGCAGCGTTGGCGAGCCACTTCTCTGCAGCGCTGGAGCGGTGCGAGCTTTGCAACGCTGGATCGCGGTCGACCGTGCTGCGCTGGAGGTCGACCTGCATGCTTGCTAGCTCTGATGTAGTCTCTCTTGCCAATGTTTTTGCTATCATTCTGAACCTCTGTTTGTCAAACTCTTGCCAAATTCCCCCGTGAATGCGTACGCAAAAGCATTGAATGCCCTGAATGTTAATTCATATTCAGGTAGCCCATGCTCAAATACACATATCTGAGCATTTTTGGCTAGGTTCGTGCGCAAGGAAAGTTCGGCGCCTACAACGACGACTGTTTTTGCCGACAAGTGCTGAGAACGAGCATGGATCCCTATAGGCGTACGGAAAAGCATTCAATAACCTGAATGTTATTGCATATTCGGGTGGCCCATGCTCAAATACACCTATCAAAGCATTTTCGGCTTGGTTCGTGCGCAAGGAAAAGTCCAGCGCCTTCGACGACGACGGTTTTTGCCGACAAATGCTAAGAAAGCGGATCGATCCCTGTAGGCATACGGAAAAGCACTGAACAACCTGAATATTATTTCATGTTCGAGTGGCCTATGCTAAAAAACGCCTATCTGAGCATTTTTTTGCTTGGTTCTTGCGAAAAGAATAGTTTGCGTCTACGACGACCGCTGTTTTTGCCGACAAATGCTAGGAATGTGCATCGATCCCTATAGGCGTACGAAAAGCATTGAGCAACCTGAATGTTAATACATATTTGGGTGGCCCATTCACAAATATACCTATTAGATCATTTTTTACTAGGTTCGTGCGCAAGTAAAAGTTTGGTGCCTGCGACGACGGCTGTTTTTGCCGAAAAATGCTAGGAAAGCGTATCGATCCCTATAGGCGTACGAAGAGCATTGAGCAACCCGAATGATAAAGCATATTCGGGTGGCCCATGCACAAATGCACCTATCCGAGCATTTTCGGCTTGGTTCGTGCACGAGTAAAAGTTCGACGTCTGCGACGACGGCTGTTTTGGCCGACAAATGCTAGGAAAGCGCATTGATCCATATAGGCGAACGAAAAGCACTGAGCAACCTGAATGTTAATGCATATTCGGGTGGCCCATGCACAAATACACCTATCGGAGCATTTTCGGCTGGGTTCGTGCGCAAGGAAAAGTTCGGCGCTTACGACGACGACTGTTTAGCTCTGACAAATGCTAAGAAAGCGCATCGATCCCCATAGGCGTATGGAAAAGCATTGAGCAACCTGAATGTTAATGCATATTCAGTTCGGCGCCTGCGACGACAGCTTTGTTTTTTGCCACAAACGCCAAGAATGCGCATCGATCCTCATAGGCGTACTGAAAAGCATTGAACAACCTGAATGTTATTGCATATTCGAGTGGCCCATGCTCAAATACACCTATCAGAGCATTTTCGGTTTCGTTAGTGCGCAAAGAAAAGTTCGGCGCCTGCGACGACGGCTGTTTTTGCTGACAAATGCTAAGAACGGGCATCGATCCCTATAGGCGTACGGAAAAGCAGTCAATAGCTTCAATGTGATTGCATATGCGGGTGCCCCATGCTCAAATACACATGTGAGAGCACTTTCGGCTTGGTTCGTGCACAAAGGAAAGTTCGGCGCTTGCGACGACTACTGTTTTTGCCGACAAATGCTGAGAACGCGCATGGATCCCTATAGACATAGGGAAAAGCATTGAACAACCTGAATGTTGCTGTATTTCTGGGTGGCCCATGTTCAAATACACCTATTCGTCGCATTTTCGGCTTGGTTCGTGCGCAAAGAAAAGTTCGGCGCCTGCGACGACGGTTGTCTTTGCCGACAAATGCTAAGAACGAGCATGGATCTCTTTAGGCGTAGGGAAAAGCATTGAACAACCTGAATGCTATTGCATATTCGGGTGGCCCATGCTCAAATACGCCTGTCAGGACATTTTCGACTTGGTTCGTGCGCAAAGAAAAGTTCGGCGCCTGCGATGATGGCTGTTTTTCCCGACAGACGCTAACAATGGGAATGGATACCTCTAGGCGTACCGAAAAGCATCGAACAACCTGAATGCTATTGCATATTCGGGTGGCCCATGCTCAAATACACCTGTCAGGGCATTTTCGACTTGGTTCGTGCGCAAAGAAAAGTTCGGCGCCTGCGATGATGGCTGTTTTTCCCGACAGACGCTATGAATTGGCATGGATACCTCTAGGCGTACCGAAAAGCATCGAACAACATGAATGTTAGTTCATGCGCTGGTGCTGTTGGCGGTGCTGGTGGTGCTGACTGGTGGTGATGGTTATGGTGGCGGCTGGTGGTGTTGGTGGCGGTGGTGATGGTGGAGGTGGGGTGACAGTGGGGTTGTGAGCTAGTCCCAAACCTGAGCCTAAGACCCAAAGCATAATGGACGAACACCAGGCCTTGTGGCCGAGGGTGTGGTTGGTCTGGTGAACTTCACCATGTGTGTACCAGCGGCGGTGTTTGCCAGCACCAATTAAGCACAAAGTAAGCAAAAATCATGGGATAACGACGGGATCAGGAAGGTGGGTCTCGCCTTCCTGATCCCGTCAGTTAGGGTTCGTTTACCTCCGTCAGCCTGGTCAGCCCGTAAAAAAGGTGCCGAGCCTCCCCAAACGTCCAAACCAACAATCAAAGTGGGTGTCTGGCGAACGCCCCCATTTGTCCACCAAAACGAACTGCTCGACGGCATGAGGAAGCGGGGACGCAACTTCGTTCCATCCCCAAGCCATGCCATCGCCATGCCCCGTTTTTCAAAGCACAGCGATGGCACAGCCGTCGCATTGCCGTCGCGCCACTAGTTGAGGAAGGTGGGGCTGGGGGTTCCATATGCGGTTGTGAAATTTCCTGTTTTGGGGATTGAAGTTTCGCGGACCGCATTACGCCCAGACCTCTTGACCAGGTTTTGACCCCGGTTCCGGATGCGGTCACCATGCCGATGCCGCCAAAATGCCATCCGTTTTCAAATGGGAAAATATGTCACAAGTAACGAACTTGGGACTTGATAACGTAAATGGTACAAAAAAAACGCGTACGGTCACTGTATCGGGTTTCCTGACGGGTTTGGTAAGTGGGGTCACGGATTCAGTCATTAACAACAGGTAAAAAATCACGCGAATGGTCACACATGTAACTCCCGCCAAAAAAACTTGAAACTCAACAAAATTCCCGCTCGCCCCCAACCAATCTGCGAACTTGTAAAAAAAACTAAAACCCAATCGGAATCGGATGCGGTTCGGGAACGGATCAACCCTAAACACCTGGCTAGTTACGTGTTAGGGTTATTAATCCGAAAATGCACCCAGATTCTTTTTGGGTTTCATTTTGTTTTGGCGGGAATTTCATCTGTGACCATTCGCGTTTTTTTTTTACCAGTTGATTGTGACTGATTCCGTGAAACTCTTTATCAGTCGCGTGAAAACACCCTTTGCAGTGACCGTACCCTTTATTTTTTTACCAACTGTGTTATCGAGTCCCATGAAGGTTACGAATGGCATATTTTCCCTTTTCAAATTCCCTGGCGAACACCGCCAGTGTGTGCTGTAGTTTTACTGGTACAAATTACCCCAGAACAAAAGAACATACTCTTTGCCCCGCTGCTGGTCTGCTTTGCATTCAGAGGCAGTGCTGGCGCATCCACATTTCCTAGTTCCCGCTGCATTTTTCGAGCATGGCGGCAACCATGGAGGCTAGTACAGACTTTCCGCTTAGCGTCTCTTTCAGATCTGCTTCAGGTGAGTGGGTCACCTGATGTTTGAGCGAAATTCTTGTGTGGATAATCGTGAAACTTGTCAGGTGCTGCTGTTTCTGCCCCATCACGAGCAAGTATAGACCGTGTACGGGCCTTGTTCGAAGAAGCATCCGCGTCACCGCTTTCGCTGCCTGCTCATTGGCAAGACTTCATTGCGCGTCCAGCACGAACCATCGTATGATTATAAGCTTTTCGAGTCAGTTCATACTTTCGCATTTTTCACGGATACTCGCCCTCTCAGGTGCACAATCAAGACGCCACTCCTGGGTTTGCTGTTCTTAGTAATAACAGCCCTCTTTCTGATCCAAGACAAGTCGAGGAGTAACTTAGAACCGCGTAGCTCCATAATTGGGTCGACACTCGAAATCTTTTTCATTGTCAAACAACAGTTGTTGATCACCCTCTCATGTCATTATCCGGAGAATATAACAATAGAAATACAGTGATGTGTACAAGTTCCATCGTTGTGCTGGAGCGGTTCGGTAGGGTTGATGCGTCTTATATCTTGCAGATGCTTCCATCCGCATGTCTCGTGTCATTTGTGGCAGATACCGCAGGTCGACTTCTTCCAGGATTGTCTGATGACATTGCCCTGATGTGTCTGGCGTTGGTTCCCAGGGGCTACTGGGGTGTCCTGAAATGTGTATCTAAAGCCTGGAGAGGCACACTCAGCTCAGAAGATATATGCACGTAAGTGAGCTTGCATTGTGACTTGTTGCATTTTCCTTGACGATTCCTGTTGGTGGCAGTCTTAGTGGGTGTAGCACACTGAGTGTACACGCCTTGGTCCCGTTGAGTCTGAGCAATGTCTTTCATTCAATGCCTAATTTTAAGTCTGAACATGCATGCAGTCTCAGAAGACTAATGAAAATAACAGAAAGTTGGCTATATGTGCTAGCGCATGGTGCGGGTCCCACTCTTCAAGCCTACTCCCCAGGTGATAGTAATTTCCAGGCTCTTTCAAAGCCTACGTCGTTTGATGCTGATTTGAATTGCATTCTCTGATGCAGTGCTTGATCGGTGGTTCAAGTTCCCCTGGAAAGCTAACCTTGCACCAGGCAGTATGGTAGGAGTGGGTGAGCATCTGGTAGTTGTTGGTGGGCGAGCATCTGATCGCATTAACCCAAACACTGGAGAGCCCGAGCACCCTGACTTCACTTCACAGGCAAGGATACTAGTCAATGCGTGTTCCTTGGTCTTCTTTTATGGTGATTGTAGTCCCGTTCAAATCCCTCGTAACGTGTGGCACTGTTGTCAGGTGAGGCTCTTCAATGCAAGAACTCTGGCATGGTTTGATGGTCCACCGGTACCACAGGCCTACCCATGCCTGTGCTCCTGGAGTGATGGCAACCGGGCTTTCATTGGGGCGTTAACTCGAGCCAGTTTTCATGTTCTGTCTTCTGAGGTTTCTGGTGAAGTTGTGCAAGGAGCAGCCTTTCTTGAAGCGCCTGTTGACACAAACTGCGGAGTATTGCCATCTAATAAAGAGTCAAGCCGCACAACCAACTTGAGAGATCAAACGAGCCTATGTAACCAGAAGGGCACTGTTCTCGGGAACTGGAGAACATTTGCACAAGGCCCAGTTGACGTGCGTGATGGCGAAGATCAACAATTGTACAATATTGCGAGGTAATGAGACTTGGTATTGTGATTAAATGGCATTATTGGTTTGCTTAATTTTTACCCTTCTTTTTTTCGCCTTCTTCTCATTCTTGCAGTGCTCATTTGACTCCTTTCACCATGAATGGCAAGCAGCAAGTAGCAATCTACAACGATTCCACATCCCCATCAGTCATTTTTTAAGTCGACCCAGAGAAGGGAACGTGTTTCAGAACTGAGGCTCACATATACCAACAGTCGATGGGAGTCTGCTTTGCAGCTCAGGTTGTTGGATGGACAGGATCCGACTGTGACTCCCTTTCGCGTGCTCTGCTTGAGAGCATTGACGAAAATACTATGGATCATCCGGGCCTCCGCTCCAAAGGGTTTGCGTTTTTGGATGATAATCTGGTCGCAGTTGGTGGAGTTCGTTACAACATTCGTTCATTTGATGTGACCGAGCTTCATGATTTCAATGTTTGGAGCCAAGAGGCACGGGGATGGGTGACTGCCCCTCCACTGCCATACGGAGGTGGAACGATTATGGCGATAGCAGTATTGAGCATATAGCTGGTCTGAAGTATCGAAGGCTAATCGCACATTGAAGTTTACAGGAGTTGCACGTTACCAGACAACTAAATAGATTTGATCAACTGCGCCATGAATCAGCACACAAAATACATATTGCGACCGAGGTCTCCAATATACCAACCGTACCAGATGGTACCCAACCTAATTATTAACCCTATGTAGTGTTTCGTCGTCGGGCCGTAACCATAATCCGCCGCATTGCTTCATAGCTAACCAAGAAAACAGCAGACGATGGAACCTGCACAGGAGGGGATGCGTGTGAGCACCAGTGCAAGCCAGACAAATAGGTGACTGTCTACCTAATGTACACGCTTACCTTGTAGAGCAACCTGGGTGTCATTCCTCTGCCGAACGCCACAATTCCCTGCCAACACATAAACGGAACCATGAACTACAGGAAAGAGAAGAGCATGGCAACACAAGGGAAACCGCAGGGAAAATCCTGCCTACACAAACCCTTGCACCATTACCTCTTCAGCCCAAACTTTTGCAAGCATTTGTCTGGTGCCTAGGTATGCTTGCCCTGGTAAAACCTCCTGAGTCATGACCCGTGTCTTTAGAACGTCCAAGGGGGAAGTGAATATGGTGGCCATGGCCCCTGCCATCTGAATGGGTAGGAAACACACAGAAACGGCTTGTGAAAAAATGTTTTCTCCCACAACACGAGTTTGCAGAAAATAAAACATGGTTCCGACGCTTGCACTTACAGCTCCAATCCACATGTTGCTGAGAAGCAATTCGCCTTGCGATAACTGGCGAGCTGCCACAGACTTGCTCCCTTGTCCTTCTGAGCCCGATAAACCTGACAAATCTGTGAGACCACCTTTGCTCCCACTGGAAGACACTCGCCCTGCAAGGATTCTCTCTCGCCTGCGCTTTAGCGTTTCAAAGGTCGTGAACTGTATGGCTGCATAGGGAATGTCCCGAGCCACCTGCAAGCATAATGTGTGACACACAACACAAGGGAGCTTAGTTCTTGAAGGTGCTAGATAGGGGAGCCAGCACACATACCCCCTACTTATGCAAATGTCACTTCCTCAAATAGACACCCTCACCCATTCAGAAACCCAGACCTTATTACCCACCTACCATGGTAGAGTATCCAGTGTAGAACCCAGGCAGCCCTTCCACCCTCCACATGTTGGTCACGGCAGCAAGGAGCCCGGCAAACTGCCCTGCCTGCACACGCTGCTTCACCACCTCTGGTGGCACCCGCACAAGGCTGGACATCACATTCCCGGCCACTGCTGCCAGGGCTGGCGCTGCAGGCAGGAGCACCGATCGCACCCGTGCTCGTCGCTCCTCATTCCACCACCCATCAACATGCCATTCCCCAGAACCAACACTCAACCCTGGCAGTGATTCTCCTGGCACTCTATTTCTGCTACCTCTCTCCCTTGGCTTTAATGAACGGAAACCTGTGAGAGCGTTAATGGCATCTTCAGCTGCCCGCTTGGCCTGCTCATAGGCTGTGAGGAAGATGGCGGAGGAGGGGGCAGAAACCGCGATCGAGACCATCAATCCGGTGTAGAGAGCAGGAAACCCCTTTGTGCGTACGATTCCTGTCGCACACGCCCACAAATTGTTGTAGTTTCCACGAACCTTCTTGGAGGCCTGTTGAGAATGCGGGTTAAGCATGATAGGGACAAGTGAGTGGTTTCATAGAGAGACAACGTCTGTCGGATTATGCAACAAGGAAAGAATGTTGCATCATCATAGGGGTTACACCCATTAGACACTCCCCATTCTTCCCCATTCCATTGCTGCTCTGACTGACATTCCACATTCTTATTCTCCACTACCATCCATTCCTTCGTGACTCGATGCCACACCCCCACTCACTTGCAGGATGGTGCGCGTGGTGTCGAACGGCTGCAGAATGGTCTTGGAAATGAGCGACGCCGACGCTCCTGCCATGAAATTCTCCCACCATTGCAACTCCACTCGACCTCCACTGCCTCGGACTCTTCCAGACAACTTCGGGTCCCTCATTGTTGCGTCAGGGGGTGTAGCAGATGCAGTTTTAGGCGAAGTAACAGACTCAAGAACAGGCGGAGGAGGGGTGAATGTAAGGGTGGACGTTGCTGGGTGATGGTTGACGCTTGACACCAATTGCGCTATGCCTGGTTGTCCGTTATCAGCGTTGCTGTAGCTTGCTTGGCCATTTGTGATTAGAGGGACACCCTTCGACCTTCTTCTCGCTCTATAATCTCGAATTGATAGTCTCAAGTGCGGAATTATGCTGGGAGATCCATCCTTGGCAATCCCTACGCGGGATTCATCTCCGCAAAGATTCGAATTTCGAATGATCTTGCGTGTTTGAACGGTACACGGCGCTCCGACAGCGCAAGTCGATGGCAGCGTTTTTTGCTGTAAAATGGCTGCAGATCCTCCATTTTTTGACTGACCCATCCCAATGACATGAACAATCAACTGCTAGAGCATCGAACGCGCCAGCCTCGTGTAATGCAAGGACCACATCGCGGACCCTACTTCCCTAAGGGCGCGTGTCTTCTAGTGTAGATTGTCAAAGTTCGAGCCTAGTACCGCTTTGTAACGTGGCGTCACGTCTTTCAATTGTATCCGACCGTGTAGAACCTTTTAAAGATTTCGAACTTCGGCAAAAGTTCAACCTCAAGGACACGCGCCCTAATTAGAATAATCAGGAACAAGAAAAATTTTGCTAATGTCTAGAGGGAGGGCAGATGACCTGGAAAATCGTCAGCAATACGATTTCTGTCTAATGAGGGAGGGGAAGAGCAACAAGAGGGGAGAGTCGAGGAATAAGAGGGGAGGCGGGGAATTGGGGAGCAGTGGCGCGGCTGGGGTTGGGGGACTGCAAGCAAAGAGGGCTGGGTGTTTGAGCAAAAATCAAGTTTCGCAAATGATGGATATTTGCACTTACGAGAAGTTTTCGCCATATCGCTGAGTAACCCACACCTGACGGACTGATGACTCTAGCTTCGCGCCAAGAATTTGCTCTGAACGAATTCTGTCACCTGTCAGACGGACTGTAACGCATGTATCCCTCAGTGGTGCTGCTGCTCTCTTGCTGAAACCACTTTGCTTCAGCTTCGCCGCTGAACACCACGCAGATCCATTCCATTCCTCCACAGCCCCAGCATAGTCGCTTTTCCAGTTGATTTGGAAGTATCACTTCCATTCTTCAAACCTGGAGTCTTGAGCTCTCCATTCCGTCTCAGTGAGTTAGCCAGACTGACGTCCTTGCCAACTCTGCGTTCTTACTGCATCTCGGTTCCTGAAGCTGCGTATAGTTTAGTGTTCCCAATAGCAGTAACTAGGATTGCTTCGTCGCTTCGGTGGTGAGCTTTCCTCTCAGAGCTTTTAGGTTGCTTTCTCCTTGACATTAGAGTGTTCAATATTTTCAACTTCTGGTTCTGCTTTTTCCAGTTTCCACATCCACCTCTCCCTAATCCGCTAGCCATGTCCGAGAAAGCGAATGCAGCAGCTATTCCATGATAGAGTATAGTAGACCCGGCGCATTGGAAGCTTAAGGTGCCTCGCATTAGCAATCCACCGTCTGGGATGACATTAGTTCCTCCCAGCAATCCATACGCAGTTCCTGAAAATCAAGTCGTTTCTGTTCAACCTAAAATTCCTATGGATTCCTTGGTTCCTGCATCGGCTACTTCAACAGCTAAAGCCTCTAAGACCGTTCCGATTGATGTTGATGGCGATGAAAGTTCTGACCACGGTTATCAGAAGCTGAAGTTGCCTCGCAAGAACGTGACACGACCTTCTCGCGAGACGTTGCCTGACGAGGTTCCTGAAAATAACAATGTACAGTTTGTCTCTCTGGCTGCTTCTGCTGCAAAGGCCACTAGGTCCTCGTCCAAGGAGACAGGTGGTGATGAAGATAATGACACGAACTCTGTCTATCAGAAGGTCAAATTACCTCGCGCCAACAAGAATCAACAGTCTCGATTGGTTCCTGCTCCAGCTGATAAGCCTAACATAGTCCCTGCAAATCGCTCGGTTCCTTCGAGCTCAATCGCCGCTCCTGCTGCTCCCATCCTTCCGTCGTCTACTCCAGCCGTTGAAGCTGACGCTCCTGCATCCTCCCACGTGGACGCAGCTAACGCTGCTTTGGAGGCATCGGCGCCAGCCACCAGTCTCTCTCAAGAGACACAGGCGACTGGGGTCCAGGTTGGTGGTGCTGGACAAGCGGAAGTGGCGACTCCGAGCAGTCGGCGATTCAAGAAGAGGATGAGCCAGAGTCCTGCAGGTGTGGAGCACTTGACACCTACCTCGAAGAAGCGGAAACTCGCAAATCGCAGCTATTGGGAGAACATAGGAGGCAGCGTGTCACGGATTGCAGCGATTAGTCGTTTTCTGGAGGACAATGCGGGCGTGGATGCAGCTTCTCCCATTGAAGATGACGCTGCGTGGTTTCAGAAGAGGCGAATGACCCTGACGCCAGCCGTACGACGTCCCTCTCTTGGTGCGGCTGTTAGATCTGGCGTCACTCCAGGGCATGCTGGTCGCGGAGGGTGGAGCGTGCAGCGCTGCGCATTGATGCAGGAAGCGGGACAGGCTGGAACGGAGTCGAGGCAAGCAAGGTCGGAAGCGGGAGAAGCTGGATCGAAGCACACAGGACTCGAGGAAGTAGTGCAAGTGGGAAAAGCTGGTTCGAAGCAAGCGGGAGAAGCAGGACAGGATGGTTCAAACGTAATGGCAGGAGACAAAGAGGAGCAGGTCATTCGTGAAGGCACAACTGCTGAGCAAGTCCAGGCGACCGGAAAAGCGAGCAAGCAGGGAGCGGACCTGGGTATGGGAGTGGAGGGGCCTGTGGAGCTGACCAAGGAGTATCTGGAGTCGCGAATGAACGTCATCTTCGCTCAAGAGACCTGCAACGCGGACCAGAAGCCCGTGCGGATCGCGAGACAGGTCAAGGCATGCTTGAAGCGGTGCTACCTCGCGTCCATGCTCGATATCAGGGCGTTTGAAGCGAGCACGGATGAGGGGAGCGAGGACGAGGAGGAGGAGGAGGACGCGGGGAAGGGCGATGGAGGGGCATCAGGCAAGTCGGTTGAGCCAGCAACCAGGGAGCAGGCGGCTGGGGGAGGGAGGAATGAATCGCTAGCGTCTGTGAGGTTCCGCATACAGGGATTGAGAGAGATTAAGGAGGGGCTGTTGAAGGAGCTGCAGGAGATTGAGGCTCTGGAGAAGCTAGAGGAGGCTGAGGAGGAAGATACGAAGCAGAGCAACGAGGAGGAGGGAACGGACGAGGAGGAGAGCCTTGACGGGGAGGAGGAAGCTTCAAATGCTCAGGTTGCGGCAGCGATCGAGGAGATTCTCCCAGTTGTCGAAGAAAAGGTGAGGAAGAATCTAGGCATAACGCATTGTGTTTTGACTGTTCCAGTTCTGTTTGAGCGAGACACCAGGATGCCATACTTACTTTACCCTGCCCTTCCCATTTATTTGATCGCAGATCGAATGTACACGCTCTTGGATCAGCACCACTCTTTCGCTGTGTCAGCGGGCAGCAAGTGTGGAGCAGCAGCTGGTTCAGGCATACCCTGGGGCTGCAGCTGCTGCTGTTGGTGGAGCAGGCGATTCCAGAGGGTCAACAGCGGCAGTGAGAGGTGCAGGAGGGTTTGCGGGAGTGCCGCTGGCTGTGTTAACTCCACGAACAGCAGCTAGGGGCCTGGCGAATCTTGGGCACCCAGATATGCCCACGGACTTAGAATGATGCGGACAGAATGGAGGAAGCCGAGTGGGCAGCACTGCTGGTTGTGGGTGGGCGATCCTGGAAGAGGGGAATGGGTTGGTGCAGTTCACACTACAAGGTTTAGGTGGTGGGCTGCGAACATAGCTTAGGTGGGAAGGGAGACTGACTACAGGAATGGTAGGGCCTTAGCACTAACGTCTATGATGACAGTTGTTAGCCAAAGCTGGCTGCTGAACATTTTGTGCTGTAGTGTGGAACAGCGTAGTATCCTCTTACAGTAGTATATCTTGTCAAATGTTGTAGCCTATAGTGAGGTTTGTCTTAGGGGGTACAAAACTTAGGGTTAGCTATATGTACCCCAACCAACATCAATGCATCATCCATTCCTCATTCTGACATGGTATCAGTTAGGTTAGGATCCTGTGGGATCCCGTTCCTCCGTTCTCCGTTCGTATCTCCCGAGCCTGATCCTACCTCTCGTTCGTACCGGTTCCGTTGTTACCGCGCCTAGTGCCGAGCCTAGCGCCCTTCCCCCCGTCGCCTAGCGCCCTTTCCCCCCCGTCACGTCGCGCCCTTTTCCCCCGTTGCGTCGCGCCCGTTCCCCCCCGTCGAGTCGCGCCCTTTCCCCCCGTCGCGTCGCGCTCTTTCCCCCCGTCGCGTCGCGCCCTTTCCCACCGTCGCGTCGCGCCCTTTCCCCCCGTCACGTCGCCCTGCCCCGTCCCGTCGCCCTGCCCCGTCCCGTCCCGTCGCCCCGTCCCGTCCCGTCGCCCCTGCCCCGTCCCGTCCCCGTCCCGTCCCGTCGCCCCTGCCCCGTCCCGTCCCCGTCCCGTCCCGTCCCGCGGCCCTGCCCCGTCCCGTCCCGTCGCCCCGTCCTGTCCCGTCGCCCCTGCCCCGTCCCGTCCCCGTCCCGTCCCGTCGCCCTGCCCCGTCCCGTCGCCCCGTCCCGTCTCCCTACCCCGTCGCGTCGCCCTCCCCCGTCGCGTCGCCCTGCCCCGTCGCATCGTGCCCGCCCTTTCCCCCGTCCCGTCGACCCTACGCCCTGGCCCGTCGCTCTAGCCCGCTCTTCCGCTGCGACTAAGTCCCACCTGAACCCTAATTTGCCTCTTACCTCCTGCTGTTACTCGCCTGCTCGTTCGCGTTAGTTTTCGCTATGGCGACTCCGCGAGTTCTTCGTTTCGACGCTGACGGCAGACCTCTTGACTTTTCCGTCTGGCTCCTTCGCGCTCGCCGTCTGTTAGAGAGTCAAGTCCAGGGGGGCGAGACCCTCTGGTCGCACGCTACTGGTGACCTCCCCGAGCCCCCCGAGCCTGCCGCTTTAGGTCCTGCCCCTGACGATGCTGCTACGGCTCGCTTTGCCCGTCAGCGCGCTGACAGGACGGCTTGGACGTCGCGTGACGCTGCGGCCTGCATCGCACTCAGCAGCCTCCTCCCTGAGTCAGAGGAGGTCCACTTCACTCAGGTTCGCACCGCTGCTGCGTACCTCACTGCGATTAAGGCCCGCTACTCTACTCCCGCTACTGTCTCTCTTGGCCGTCTTTTCCTCCCGTTCCTGTTTCCTGATCTCGCCTCGTTTGAGCGCTCTGCTGACTTGATCGCTCACCTCCGCTCGCTCGACGCTAGTTACCGCGCTGCTTGCACTGAGGCACAGCTTGCACTGCTTCCTCCCCCCATGGCGATTACTATCTATTTCATCGCCACTAGCCTCCCTGACCGCCTTGCCTCCGTACGTGACGCGCTCCTGCTGAAGCACCCTAGTGAGCTGACAGTTGAGGTCCTTGAGTCTGCGCTCAAGGACGTCGAGAGCAACCTTCGCTCGGTAGCTGCCGCCTCTGGTGCTGTGCCCCCCCCACTCTTCCACGGGTGCACAGTCCCGCAGTTACCCACCTTCACTGCCTCTCTTGCCACTGCCGCTACTGACGCGACTGCAGCTGCTGTTACGACTGCGTCGCGGTCCCGCGGCAAGGGGGGCAAGAAAGGTGGTTCTGGTGGAGGTGGAGGCGGAGGTAGCGGAGGTAGTGGGGGTGCTGTTGCGACTGGCGGTGGTGGGAGTGCAGCGTCTGGAGAGACCTCTCGTGCAGCGGCTGGTGACTCCACTGCGCCTGCTGGTGGTGGCGACACCCGAGCTCGTCAGTCGTCTCCTGTACTGCCGGCCCCGCTAGGTGGAGCAGCGGCGTGGTACCAGGCTCAGCGTCAGCAGCGGCTTCAGCAGCAGCAGCAGCCCCTCTCCTCCCAGCAGCCTCAGCAGCAGCAGCGTCAGCAGCTGGCTCCGGGGTCGGGGCTGCGTCAGCCCCAGCGTGGTGCTGCTTACCCTCCCTGCACCTATCAGGTTCTGACAGGTCCTCGTCGGGGCCACCCTTGTGGCCGCTTTCACCCCCCTGGTCAGTGCTTTGCTCAGCTCACTGACACGGTCCGGTTGGCCTACGGGGTTGGCGGTCCTGCCCTTGACTGGCTTCCTCTGGTTCAGCGCTACGGCTCCGCTCTGTGGGGCATGTCTGCTGAGCAGTTAGTTGATCTGATTGGTGCTCCTCATGCTATGTATGCTGTTGTTGACTCTAGTGTTTCTGACTCTGCTTACTCTGGTGTTGTTAGCTTAGGTGCTAGCCTTGCTCAGTTGCCTGTTGCTAGTGTAGGTTCTTGTGTAGACTCTAGTCCAGCGGCTACCTCAGAGGACGGTTCGCTGTCGTTCACGCTGGACTCTGGAGCCTCTCACTGCTTCTTTCGTGACAGCACGACACTTACGCCTCTTCCTGCGCCTGTTTCTGTGGCGCTGGCTGATCCCACTTCGGGACCAGTCACCGCGCGTCACACTACCACCTTGCCGTGTCCGGCTGCTCCTTCTGGGTCTCTCACTGGGTTTCACGTCCCCTCGTTCTCCCGGAACTTGGTGGGCGTGCGACCCCTTGTGAGTCAGCACGTGGGTGTGTGGTTTGAGCCTTCTGGAGAGACTGCGGTGTGTGTTGACGGGGACTCTTACCAGCCTCTCGCCACTTTTGCTGCTGAGCCGGGCTCCGGTCTCTACACTCTTCACACTGGCCCGCGCGCTCAGCAGCGACTGCAGCAGCAGCAGCAGCAGCCTCAGCAGCGGCAGCAGCAGCAGCCTCAGCAGCGGCAGCAGCAGCAGCCGCAGCCACAGCGGCCGCCGTCGCAGCAGCCACTCCTCCCAGTTCCTGTCCCTCCCCCTAGTCTCCTCCCTGCGTCTCACCAGGTGGTTCCGTCCCCTCAGGTTGTCGCGTCCAGTCCAGTCGCTGCGTCTTGCTCCTGTCGGTCGCTTGCCCACCCCACCGTTCTGTGGCACCACCGGATGGGACACCCTTCTCTTCCACGTCTGCGTGCTATGTCTAGTCAGCGTCTGGTCTTAGGTCTCCCGCGTGTCTTGCCGTCGCTGCCGCCGTCCCTTGCACCACCGTGCGGTCCTTGCGTCGAGGGTAGGCTGCGTGCCACCCCTCACTCCTCCTCCCTTCGTCCGGCCACCGAGCCTTTTGAGACGCTGCACTTGGACGTCTGGGGCCCCTCTCCTTGCCCTGGCCCTGAGCGTGAGCGTTTCTTTTTGGTGGTCGTTGACGACTACTCCCGCAGTGTTCCCCCTGGCGAGGAAGTCTGAGGTGACTTCTACGCTGATCAGGTGGTTGCTTACCACCCAGGACACTCGTGGTCGTCGTGTCAGCTGTCTCCACTCCGACCGCGGGGGCGAGTTTCGCTCCGGCATTCTCGCTGGATTCTGTCGCGAACAGGGCATTCGTCAGTCCTGGACGCTTCCGGAGTCCCCACAGCAGAATGGGGTTGCTGAGCGTCGCATAGGCCTGGTCATGGAGATTGCCCGCACCTCCTTGACTCACGCCCGTGCCCCCCATTTCCTGTGGCCATACGCAGTCAGGTACGCCGCGCACCAGCTGAACCTCTGGCCACGCGTCTCTCGGCCGGAGGCTTCACCGACCAGTCTTTGGACAGGGTCCCCTGGTGTCGCGTCGAGGTTTCGTGTCTGGGGGTGCTTGGCTCTTGTCCGCGACACCTCCGCGGACAAGCTCTCGCCTCGCGCCGTTCCTTGTGTCTTCCTTGGTTTCCCTGAGGACTCCTCTGACTTCACCTTTTACCACCCTCCCTCTCACCGGTTCTTTGACTCCCGTGACGTCCGTTTCGAGGAGTCCACCCCGTACTACGTCAGGTACCCCAGTCGAGGTCTCCTGGTTCCTCCTCCCCCCCTCTTCCTGACAGCCGCTCCCCCGCCTGCTCCCCCGGTACAGCCTCCCCCCCCTGGTCCAGCCCCGTCTGGTGTGTCTCAGGCTAGCCCTCCCCCTTCGGTAGCCCCCCCTGTACAGCCTCCCTCCCCACAGTCTTCCTCGCCGCCTCCTGCAGGTGCTCCCTCTCGGGAGGTTGGTCCTGCGACTGTCCCTGTACCGGTTTCTGGTTCTGGGGGTGCTGGAGTTGGAGCTGAGCCGCGGGTTGCAGAGGACTCTTGTCTTCCGGGGGCTGGTACTGGTCGTGCGGAGTCTGGGGGTGCTGGTGCGGAGTCTGGGGGTGCTGCGTCTGGGGGTGAGGGTGTCCCTTCGGTTTCTGGAGAGCCTGGGTCTGGAGCTGGTGTTGGTGCTGCCTCTGGGGGTGGTGTACTTGGTGCTTCGGAGGTCGACTCTGGGGCTGCCGCTGCCCCGGACACTACTCCTTCCCCCCACCCCTACCCGACCAGGTTCCAGGCTCGTGTTCGCCGTGCTCGTGAGGAGCAGCTGGAGTTGGAGAGAGAGGAGAGAGAGTTGCAGCGGCTCGAGGAGCAGGAGCGACAGCAGCAGGAGCAGCAGCAGGAGCAGCAGCAGGAGCAGCAGCAGGAGCAGCAGCAGAGGCAGCAGCCGCTGGAGCAGCAGCAGCCACAGCAGCCGCGGCAGCAGCAGCAGCAGCAGCAGCTGCTGCCGTCTCCTCCTCCTGTCTCGGGTCTTCGGACCCTTGGTCTCCCGTCTCCCTCTCCTTCCTCCTCCCCCTCTCCTCCCGTCTCTGGTCCTCCGCTTCCTCCTCCTGACCCCTCTCCCGCTGTTTTCCCTCGTTCTCAGTCTTCGTTGTCTCCTCCTCCTTCTCAGACTTGGGCCTCTCGTCGCTCCCCTCGTGCTCGTCCCTCGTCTCCTGTTCCCTTCACTGACCTTCGTACAGCCTTCCTTTGTTCTCGTCCACCTCGTCCGTCTCCGTCTGTGCTTCCGTCTCCTCCTGAGTCGGCCCTCACTGTGTCGCTTCCTTCTCCTGTCACTGACTACTACCGCACGTACCGTCCTGTTCTCTCTCGTGTTCTCGCCTCTCTTGTTACCCACCCTCGTGCCTCTGTGTCCTCTGTGTCCGCTCTTACTGCCGCAGTCACTGAGTTTGCCTCTACCCGCCGCCTTGACTTCGCCACCGCTCTTGTGGCAGCTCCTCCTTCCAGTCCTCTGGCCGTCGGGGGTGTGTCTGCCCTTGGCTGTGACGCCCTAGAGGACAGGCAGTTTGAGCTAGAGTTCCTGGCGGCCGCTTCCCCTCATCTCTGTGCCATGCTCCTCGCCCCTGAGGGTGACCCCGACGCCCTTGACATTCCGACTCCTCGCACTTACGCTGAGGCAGTGTCAGGGCCTTGGGCCTCTCAGTGGAGAGCTGCCATGGACGCAGAGATGGCCTCCTACAGATCCACAGGCACCTACGTCGATGAGGTTCCCCCTCCGGGGGCGAACGTAGTCGACGGCATGTGGATCTACAGGGTGAAGCGGCCACCGGGATTGTCAGAATCCCAGCCACTAACCACTGGGATAAAAGGGCTTGTTTATATAGCGGGTGAGTGCGCCCATAACCCCCCAGGCCGACGTGCCTGTAACCCTTCCCTAGGATCATCGGGGATCCCCAGTGGACCTCTGACACCCCCCCGCACTGGGATGCCCGAAGTGCACACACCGGGAATCGAACCCGAGACCTTCGCTCTGATACCATGTCAGAATCCCAGCCACTAACCACTGGGATAAAAGGGCTTGTTTATATAGCGGGTGAGTGCGCCCATAACCCCCCAGGCCGACGTGCCTGTAACCCTTCCCTAGGATCATCGGGGATCCCCAGTGGACCTCTGACAGGGATCTCCTCCGGTCTTCAAGGCGCGCTACGTGGCTAGAGGTTTCAGTCAGCGCGAGGGAGTTGACTTCTTTCAGACCTTCGCGCCCACCCCGAAGATGACCACTCTTCGGGTGTTACTACACGTAGCAGCACAGAGAGACTACGAGTTACACTCTCTCGACTTCTCTACTGCTTTCCTTCAGGGCAGTCTTCACGAGGAGGTCTGGTTGCGTCGTCCCTCTGCCTTCACTGGCTCTTTCCCTCCTGGGACCCAGTGGAGGCTGAGGCGACCGGTTTACGGTCTTCGTCAGGCTCCTCGTGAGTGGCACGACACCCTGCGTTCTACCCTGTCTGACCTTGGGTTCCAGCCGTCTTCTGCTGACCCGTCGCTGTTCGTTCGTCGTGGCCCCACACCTTTCTTTGTTCTGGTCTACGTTGACGACCTTGTTTTCGCCACCCCTGACAGGGTTGCTTTGGCACACGTGAAGTCCGAACTGCAGAAGAGACACACCTGCACTGATCTTGGTGAGCTGCGCCACTACCTTGGCCTGCAGATCACCAGGGACAGAGCTGCTCGCACCATTACACTTTCACAGTCGCACATGGTGCAGCAGGTCCTTCAGCGGTTCGGGCTTCAGCACTCCACAGTACAGCGCACACCTCTTGCTGTTGACCACAGACTCACTGGACCCTTTCCTGACGAGCCGTTCGAGCCTAGTGGTCCCTACGCAGAGCTTGTGGGTTGCCTCATGTACCTGATGACTTGTACTCGCCCGGACCTCGCCTTCCCTCTCAGCGTTCTTGCGCGCTTTGTTGCGCCAGGGAGACACCGTCCTGTTCACTGGACAGCAGCTGTGAGGGTGGCGAAGTACCTAGCGACGACGTCAGGCGTGGGGCTAGTTCTTGGAGGGCAGCAGTCTGTCGTACTTACTGGTCACTGTGACTCCTCTTACGCTGACGACGCTGAGACTCACAGGTCTACTCAGGGGTACTGTTTCAGCCTGGGTTCTGGAGCTGTTTCCTGGCGGTCCACGCGCTCCTCTTCGGTCTCGACCTCTACAGCTGAGGCTGAGATCTACGCTGGTGCCATGGCGGCACAGGAGCTGCGTTGGTTGACCTTCTTGCTCACCGACCTTGGTGAGCGGCCGAGCTCTGCACCGACCTTGTTCACTGACAACAAGGCGTCTATTCTCCTTTGTCGAGAGCCACGACTGGAGAGCAGAGTGAAGCACATTCACGTCAGGTACTTTCTTCTGCGAGAGTTGCAGAGGCGTGGACAGGCTCGCTTTGAGTTTGTGGAGTCCGAGGCCAACACTGCAGACATCTTCACCAAGGCGCTTCCGCCTTGTGACCACCAGAGGTGCTGTGTGCAGTTAGGCCTTGTTGACACTGGTTCTCGTGTTGCTTAGGCTTGAGTGTACTGTTTACTTTGCTTTCTATATACCTCTGTTACTTCTTGGACTGGCCTTGTGGCCACTGTTGTTTGTGCTCAGACTGTGTGGTGACGTTGTGATCCACCCTGAGCTTCGTTTCTTGGACTGGTCTTGTGACCGTACTCGTTTGGTTTTGCTAGACACCCCTCACTTAGGCTATGGGGGTGTGTCAAATGTTGTAGCCTATAGTGAGGTTTGTCTTAGGGGGTACAAAACTTAGGGTTAGCTATATGTACCCCAACCAACATCAATGCATCATCCATTCCTCATTCTGACATATCTTACTGTGACTAATAAGTTGCATTTGCAACAATTTCCAGTGCCTGCCATCTACTAAACACAGAAACAGTGTGCCCTAGTGCCTTCTTCAGATTTCCTCAAGCATTCACAGCAAAGTTATCTGCACCTAAGCCCCCAGAAGATGCGGAGCTTGAATCAGTGATGACCAGATGCTGCATGATTGCCTCCACTGCTCGGATGGTCACCCTCCTTCAGCTGCCTCTGCTTCTCCTTGCTGATGGCGTTCATGCGCGTGAACTGGGCAAGGGAAGGCCCAGACGAGAACGCAAGGTTGGAAGTGGGGTGAGAACAAGAAGGGAAAGGGTATGTGGTGGTTGGGGGTACATGCAGATTGGCGCGTATGGTAACATGAAGCCGCGTGCATGTCCATGTCGTATAGAGGAGCTACAAATGCAGTATGCACCCTCCCCAGGTGGAGTCCCAGCCATGGCCCAGAAATGCCCAACCCTAAAATTTAAATACACTTCCATTTACAAGGGGTCCTAGAGTGAGCCTTTGCCGATCGTGCGCCATTAAAGCTAGCCTTATTCTGCATCACGGATTTCGGAAGCTCTGATACATTGATCCTATGAAGGCGATTCAGCGACCCAGAGGAACTCACCTCCTTGCGATGGTGTAAGCATTCGAAGTAATCTTCTCGCAGCGGCACGCACTCGCGAGGGTCCTGGCATTGCGACATGCACTCGGAGAAGTCTAGCCACACCGGGTAGCACCGGCCGCGACCGCCGTGGATGCCGAAACCGGAAGCCATTTGTGCGCGAAGCGGATGAGGAGCTAGAGATCGGAGGGACGGGTAGACGCGGTGACGTGGATCGCGGTAATGGCGGTGAGGCGACGCGGAGTGGAGGAACAACCGCCGCGGGTGTGGCGGTGAGGCGACGCGGGTGATCCTGTTATGGTGCAGCGATGGGAGGAGCTTATCTCAGGCAAGGGCGTTCCTCCGCCAAGTTGCGTCAGTAACCCGGATCGTCACGAGCGAGCAAAAGCGCGTGCGAAGAAGCTGGGATGAAAAGATCGCTGGGCCTGACTTGCTCTGGTTTCTTTCTGCTTCTAACCTCATTAGTTAATAACCGCACTCATATTTGTTTTCATTTTGACAGCGAGAGATTCTCTAAAGGATTTCTACTGTGCTTGCTTTTGGAACCCCTGAAAAGCCTCAGTCAGAGGCTGGATGGAGGTTTGGAGTTCCCGAAGCACCAGTTTGATTTCATCTAGCCTGCTAGGCTCGGGTGAATGAAGTCACAGGCCAGTGGATCAGGTTCGCAGGAGGAGCAAAGATTCCACTATGTGATCTTATGTGAACCCGCCTTCCAGTGGCGCCTAGCCACATCAGTTTTGCGCAAGCTAGCTTCAGCAGAGATGTGGCTGTGGTGCGTTATCCTCCAACAATCCCGCCCCGCCATTTCCCAAACCAGCTAAACACGCGAATCACAGTGCTTCGAGATTTCGATACAGCATGATCCGGAAATTCAAATATTGCCCTGTCAGACAAACCTCCGCCCAACCTCTTCGACCTTTTCCTTGTCAATCTCCAGCTTTTCTGGAAGTTCTGGCTGTTGGGCCAATAGCAGCTGCAACACCACTCCCGCTTTCCCGTCTGCTCCCCCTGTGTCTGTCAGCGTGGCAGCACTTTTTCCTGCTCTCTCATCCCTGAATTCGGTAACCAATTCCCAAGGGAAGGCAGACTGTCAGGGAAGTCCGAGGCAACTATGGATCCCACTGCGAAACCACAACTATTGGGCGATCCCATTGCGGATCTCAGTTTGCATAAGGCTAGTCGATTCCCAAACAAGCGGAAAATTCTGTGATATTTCTAACTTGTTGATAATCTTGCAACGCCTTCTGCTAACTTCTGCTAACTAGTTGTCAGCAAAGATTCTCATTTTCTGAAACAGCGCATAATCTTCATAATCACTTCACCCTGAACTTGGAGAGAAGTCTGACGAGCTAGAACTGAGTAGCGCACCAGCACCCTCCAATTGTGGGATGCAATGGCGTCAGTCACAAGTGAGCCCTTCGCCAACCCCCATTGTCGTCTTTCAAACGTATCTCATCTGTCCTGACTTGCTCTCACCATGATCAGCCATTCACGTTAATTCCTTCCCCCCTGTTCCAACGGTTCACCTTTCAGGCTGCGTGAGCCGGCCTCGTCCGTCAAGCCCTGTCACCTCCACCCGTCGTCATTCCCATCGCGTTTTCAACACAGCCAGTCAGAATCATCAAGGGAGCTTCCAGCCTCTCCCGCGACCGCAATGGCCCCTCCAGCAGCGGAAGCCGTTAGGTACTTCCCCGAGACAATCGTCGCCATGCCGGCCGTCGTCGCCGTGCCGACCAGGGCCTTCTTTCCAGAGCAACGGCGCTGCCAGCAGTACTTCTCGGAGAGCATTCACGGGAAGCGGAAGGCTAGAAGGCTCAGCAACCATCGAGAGAGAGTTTTCTGGTATGCTAATGCCATGTTGTGACGAGCTGACGCATGTTGTGAACGGGAGTGCGGATCCGGGAATGACTGATATGCTGTCACTCACGAATTGACTTGTGCCTCTGGCTCTCCCCCCCACCCCACCCCTCCCCCCCCCTCCCCCTCCACCCCTCCTTTCCCCCGTGTCGCTTTCTCAGAGGAAGATCCGGCTACGGAAGGTCCTGCTCTGCGCGCACCTCCCTCCCTGCCTCCCTCGCTGCTGCTACCGACAGGCTACCTCTCTGTTGAGACTCTGGGGGAAGACTCTCACCTGCTGGAAAAACTGGGGATCACGCTGAACGGGGGTATGGTGAAACCTGCACCTGCTGCGCTGACTGCTGCTGGTGCTGCTGGTTCTGTTGATGCCGCTGGGGTTGTCACTGGGAATGACACGGGGAACCAGAAGAACGAGATGCTGAACAAGATCCGGCTTCTGGCGAGAAAGGTTGGGCAGCTGCGTGTGAGGGAGGAGACGCGTGAAGAGAAAAGTCTGCGGATGGAAGAGCAGAAAGTATCAATGGCGGAAGGAGAGAGAGGAACGGTCAATGGAAAGGCGCAGGTTGAGGTGGAAAAGCGAATGATAGAACATGAGGATCAAGAGGGAGGAGGATCTGACGTCGATCCTCAGAACGGCTTCAAGATCATCAAGGTATGCGGTGCTTTATCCTTATCAGAGGTCGCTTCTTCATGTGGATATGCTCTTTGGGTTCATTCGCATTATAAGCCGTGAATCTGCGATGTCAGCTCTGGTTCCAGAAACCGCTCTGCCTGATGTCAGTGACCAAGTGGCTGAATGGATAGATCGGATGTGCTCTTACCTCCAGTAAACTCATGTTTGTTGTGCCGTCGCCCCCTCTTGTCGCCCCCTCTTGCTTGTGCCAGGAGGAGCTCAAGTTCTCTCGCTTCCTCAAAGTCTACAGCCGTGTCGTGGAGGTGAGGCATGAGGGCGCCAATGAGCGATGGGGCGCGCAGATGAGCGATCAGATGAGCTTATCGAACCATTGGCTAGTGTATTCGAGCGCATTCCCTGGTTGCGTCAGTCTCCTGTTTTTTCCTTCAATCCGTACTCACTTATTCCTTCCCTTTCCCCTCCCACCCTCCCCTTTCCATTTCTCTACCCCCTCTTCCCACCTGTGTCGCTCCGGCAGCACCCGCCTCTGCCTCTCGCGCAGCAAGAGCCACAGCATGCCTCTGAAACCGGTCTCGTCACCCCCTCATTCGACCAGATACGAGCAGCCACTCCAGCAACTTCAGCTCCAGCAGGTAGCGGATCTGCTCATGGGGCGTCTGGTGCGAGGGGCCCGATCATGGCCGCCTGTGCAGCAGGACCCAGCCTTCAGAGCACCTCTTTTCAGCTGCAGCAGGGTCAGCAGAGTCAGCAGGGGCATCAGGGGAAGCAGGAGGAGGGAGCGAGGCGGGCGCGTGGGCGGAAGGTGGTGGAGTACGACATCGTGTCGTCCGCCAGCAGTCACTTCATCTGCGTGCTGCCCTTCCACTCCGCCACCCAGTCCGTCACTCTCCTCAAGGAGTACGCCCAGGTGGGTGCCAGTCCCCCACACAGCACCGTTTGGGTGGCTTCAGCCCCTCGCTTACGCTCTCTTCTCTGCTGCCACCTCTTTCATCCACTGCGTCTCAACGCCTCGCACTGCGCTCCTCGTCTCTCACCCCCACAGGGCGCCAACAGCCTGCTGTACACGGTGCCGTGTGGCGGCCTCAGCAGCTCGCATGCATCACTGGAGGATTGCGTCCGAAGCGAACTGTCTGAGGAGGTGAGCTGCTGGTCTGCACCACATGTGCTTATGAACATGCATCCCAAGGTGCCTTCCCGTGAGCGACTCAATGTGCATGTCATCCCAAGGTGCCTTCCCGTGAGCGACTCAATGTAATAGATGCAGTCGTTAGAATAACGTATCCTGAGACTAGAAACTCTTTCAATACCGACCTCTTGTGTGCTTTCCCTCACTCCTCTCAACCCCTGACTCCCTTCGTTCCCCCCAACTAACTCTCTCCATACCACCAGGCACGTCTGCGTGGCGGGCGGCTCGTGCGCCTTATCCCAGAGGACCACCCAGGCCTTCTCGAGGTGAAGTGGTGCAAGAACCGCTTCACACCGTTCCTGGTCATCGACCCGCTGCCCGACCCCACTCCGCTGCCACGCGACCCGGAGGAGTTCATCCAGGTGCTGCACCTGCCCGCCCGCGACCTTGACAGGCTGGCGCTGGGCGGCGACATGCTGCTGCCGTCTGTAGTCACGTGCACCATGGCCCTGCAGTACTTGCGGGAGCACCACTTGCTGTGACTGTACGGGGCAGTGGGTTGCCGGGTGGAGGCTGGGAACGGAGGCTTTGGCCACCTTTCGCTGTAGTCAAGTGCGGTGGGTGGTATGCACCATGGGGCTGAAATAACCGAGGGACCATCGGCTGCTGTGACTGTAAGGGGCAGAGGGGTTGCTGGAGGTGGATGGAGTGATGTGAGGTGTGGCTGGCTCTATCCACATGAGCTGTGGCATGGCACCATGGGTATGGGGATGGTGGTGGTGGCCGTGAAGAATGGGGGAATGGCGGGAGGAGTGCAGGAATTACGGTAGGGGTTCTACTGGGGCAAGACAGGTGCCTTGGTAGCAAGGCTGCCTATCTCAGGGGCACTTCTCGTGCCCCCTTCACTGCAGCCCCTTGCACCTGTACTATATACTAGTACATGCTGTGGCATGCAGAATAATCACCAAGCATCAAGCCGCTATCGGATTATATATCTTCCGAGATAAACGGATAAGCAAGCCACGTGTCAGCTACTGTACAACCAGCAATGCTACTCTACAAAACAACCCAACACTGGCAAGCAGATGTCCAGCCGTACGCAAGTCATAAAGTGATTCTGCAAGATCTCAAGACATTGACCCTACGTATCAACACTCAGCTACTGCAAAGACACGCACTGTGTGACCACCATGCCTCTCCTGCTCCTGCTCCCCTTGCCTCGCCTCCTCTGCCTCATCTGCCTCCTCCTCCTGCTCCTGCTGTGGCTGTGTTTTCTCCTCGGCAGACCCATCTGTCTGCCCAGCAGGACCAGACTTGAACCGCCAAAGCATCTTCTTCAGCACACTCTTCGAGCTCTTCACACCCTCCTCCTGCCCCCTCACATTGCCACCCCTCACATCCTCACGCGCTGCAGCACCACCCCTGAGACCCCCGTGACCACTCAAGTTAGGGCTGCCACCATCCAACCCCCCAGCCCCCCTTGCACTCGCCTGCTTCCCGCCCACCGCCACCCACTCAGCTTCTGCTTCAAGGTCACTCCACTCCCCCAGCACGTTATCACTGCTCATACTCCTATAACCAGTCTCTCTATTAGACAGAGACCGCCCATTCCCCCGCAAAAAAACCCTATCTGATACCTCCCAGACCTTAACTTCTGCTCCAGACCTGCCCGAACCTCCAACTTCCGAACCACTACCACCTGGAGAGAACCTCCGAACCTGTACCGTGGCCCCGTTCCTTGCAGCCTGCATTGGTGACCCAAGCCCCCCAGCCTGCGCTGGTGACCCAAGCTTCCCAGCGTGGCCTGGCATGCCGTGCCAAAGAGCTTGCATCGGCGCACCATGCCTTCCCTTCCCATCCTTCCATGGCAGCTCAGCCACTACTGGGCTCCTCGAGAAACTCCCATCACTCCCCTCCTCACTCCCCTCCCCCCCCTCCCCTCCCTCCTCCTCCACTGCATGTGCCACGGATAGTTGAGGCAGTGACGGGGTGAATCGGTGCATGGATGGGGTTCGGGGTCGCCCTGCCGTGATGCTCTCTCTGGCAGGCCACATCTGCTGCAGCACCTGTGGGCCCTGCTGGTACTGCTGCACTTGCTGCACGTGCTGCATCTGGTGCGGCTGTGGCCCCTGCTGATAGTGCTGCAAATGCTGCATCTGCTGCACCTGTGGGGGCTGCTGGTACTGCTGCACGTGTTGCATCTGCTGCATTAGCTCGATATGCTGCTGTTGCATGTGCTGCTGCTGCATGTGCTGCTGCTGCATGTGCTGCTGTTGCATGTGCTGCTGCTGTATCTGCGCCTGGTGCAACTGTTGCATGTGCTGCAGGCGGGGGGAACTGTTACCAGCTGCAGCAGAGGGCTCGTGAGGAGAGCGAGCAAACCTGGGGGCCACCGGGGCTTTACGCGGCGTCGGGGGTTTCTCTGCTGATGGCCGGGATACAACAGTGGATGCGGAGAGGTATGTGTGTGCTGGCCTGATGCTGCAGGGGGAGTTGAAGGCTGCAGGTGCCACCCCGGGCAGATTCTCGGTCAGCACTGAAAGGGAACTGCTCCTGCGATGAACGCCCCGGGCAGGCTGCCGGGCAGGCCTGGGCTTGGTGGGGGGAATGGGAGGAGCGTGGGTGGCGGACATGGGGGAGGCGCAGGCGGGGGAGGTGCAAACGGGGGAGGCGCAATGTGGGGAGGCGCAAGCAGGGGAGGCGAAGGAGTGGAGAGTGGAGGAGGTGGGGGAGTGGGAGGCCTGCGAGGGAATGGCGGAGCGAGAGGGGCCTGTGTGGTAGTATGAGTCTATGGAGGAGGAAGGAGGGAGGATGGAGAGAGAGGAGTAAGGGGAGGAGTGAGTGGAGGAATGGGGGGAGCGGAATGAAGACTGGTGCATGGAATCGGGTGGCCCATGGGAAAACTGCCCCATTGTGGCAGAATGGTTGTTGCTAATTTCGCTCCCCACGATCTGCACCGGTATCGGAACGCCCTGCCCAAGCGAACCGGGAGTACATTCTGTATTTGCAGAGTAAATCACCCCAGGGAGCAGGACAGGGGCACATGGAGAAGGGGGGGCATTTCCGCCCTTGTGGGTTGACCCTGCTGCGGAAACGAACGCAGGGGGCGCGGACGGCGGGGGAGCATCCGTAGGCAGTGTGACTGTATCGCGCGTGTCATTAGTGAATATCGCGGCGAAATCGAGAGAGCCTTCAGATCCTGCCACGTCAGCGCCGTCGTTTAACGAAGGAGCACAAGGCCGCGGCAAATCCGCTCTGTCAGGAAGTTGCAGCTGCACCGAATCATCTGATAAGAGTGACGTTTCAAAACCTAGCTGTACTGAATCGTCTGACCATTGGGAGCTTTCATCGCGCTTTGCGCGCGGCGTAGGAACTAAGCTGAAAGCGTATTTAACGTGCGCCTCCCCCGTCCCCTCCCCCGCTTCCTGCCCTTCCGCCGCCTCCCCCCATTCGCCCTTCCACTCCCCCGTCGGCGCACGCCACGATTCGTCGCGCGTTTTCCCGGCCTCTGGCGCACCGTCAGGGCCATTGGCCGGCGCGCCGGCGGTGGCGGCGGAAAGCCGAGCCAGCGCGAGCGACCGCGCCGACCGCGCCGACTGGGGGGAATGCGGAGCGGGGTCCGCGTCGAGGCAAGTGAGGTCGATGTTGTCGATGCGCAAGCCTACCGCCTCCATGCGCCGACACTGCTGCTCCAGCGCTGGTGGGGTTTAAGAAGATGGGGGAAGGGGAGAGCGGGAGTGGGGGAGGGGGAAGAAGATATCGGGGATAGAGTGGGGGATTAGAAAAGGGGATATTGTTGCAGCCCTACCGCCTCCATGCGCCGACCCTGCCGCAACGGCGCGCCAACGAAGCTCATAGGCTCGGGTCGCTCCTTCCGCCACTCCCTTCTCTGCTCCGCCTTCGTCCTTTCTGCTCGCCTCACCTTCCCAACTGTCATCCCGCGACGCCGCTTTAACCACCACGTGGCGCTGATTCGCCCCGACGCCGCCGGTGTCGCCCGCGCATTCCGTCGCCATCCCCGCGCCTTCCACGCTGCGCGACCGCTGCACGCCGCCGCGGCCGCCGCCACCACTCCGCGCCCAACCCGGCGGCTTCCAGCCAGGGCCCGCCCGTTCCATGACGGATTCCGTCACGAAATCCGTCGAAGCCTCCGTCTCAAAATCCGTCCAGCGATTTCTGGCTACCATGGCTGCCGGCGACTGCAACCTGTTACTACTTAACGAGTGCGCATTGGCACTGAGCGCCCGCCTGGCGCCGCAAACGTCGCCGCAACCGCCGCCACCTGCAAAAGCATCGATCTCGGCCCAGCGAACGGGTTCCCCTGCCATGCTGCCGTCTGCCCCGGACGCGCCACGGGGAGCGCGCCGCGAAATCAGCCAAAGGCAATATCCGAGCGCAATCGGCGTGCTTGGCGGGAGAGTGCCTTCTGAGGCGCCTCAAAACCCAAGAATTTCCGGGTGTGAACGCAACTACGGGGCGCCGCGTTGCGTGAGTAGTCAAGCTCGTCGATCCGTTGCGATAAAGGTTCGTGGTCACAACGCTGGGCCGTGATTGCGGCTCCTTCGCCGAAAACTCAAACTAACCCGCAAAATTGGTGGCATGCGTTATGATGAACCAGTGAGCTGCTCATGCGCAGACGATTGCTAGTGGCCGGCGGGGATGCTGCGGGAGAGACTGGTTCGAGAGGGCAGTGCGCTGTGGATGAATGACTCTCCCTCGCTCCATTCCCGTGTCTCTACAAACGGGTCGAAGATGGAGTGGAGTCACAACGATATTACACTAGCCAGCACATGCCGGAGAGAACGAAACGCCGATATTTCGTTTCAATTGCAGAACAGAAGAGGCAGAGCACGAGGCAAGCAAGGAAGCAGCGGTGATGCCGCAGCAATGCAACGGAGCCTGTCAACTGTCACTCCTACCTGGGCCGCATGAGATTTTTGCTACACTGCAGTGAAGCAACGTGCTGATGATGATGATGGTGTGACCATGACTCGTGCATGGGTGAAGCAACTGTTATTGGCTAAAGCAACTCCGAAGCGAGAGTCAAGGAGCTTTGGAGGTTGCGGGAGCCATGTATGCATGTCCGTACCGTACGTCCTTCCCGAACCTGGAGAGGCTCGGCTCGTGCTGTTGACGTTGACGTCAACATCAGGCACACCCGTACTCCCGCCGCCGGCCGTGGAAGAGATTTGCGCGAAGAAATCGTTTTGTGGTTGTGAATGTGGGTTGTACTGTACGGTAATAATACAGCTCTTTCCTTTGCCTGCCAGCCAGCTGGCCCCTTCGTCGTGACTCGTTCGTGACCTGTGATGAAGTCCCCGCTGAGCTGGCGGAGTGCATACGCGATCTTGACTGTTCTGAGATCCGATACAAGATATCCGTAATTCCATTTAACGATAATCGTAAATTAAACTGGTGCACTTTTTCCTCATCTCCTCACACCAGGCACCTCGACATCCGTTACAAAGTGGCAGCTAGAAAGTCGTGGAAAGTGGCGGCGGGATGCGCAAACCGATGCCAAATGGCAATCAATCTGCGGTCC